AAATAAAGCTTGACAAGTGGATGGGGAAGGTGGTGTAGGTAAATATTTATGGAAAGAAGGATTACTAGAGACACGGGTCTAAACTTCTTAACTCTCTCAAGGACACTAGACACATGAGCATAGGGTAACAATTTAAGTGATAACATTTTCTGCTGCATTGTGGCTCAACAACAAATTAAATAATGGGATGTGTAATTCCTGAGGAGGAGATGCCGGGGACCACACATGTGACCTTGATTGGCTTGAGGAAGGTTTTGGATGCAGAGTGAGGAAAGGAATAGAAATGATAATACATGACCCTTGTTTTCTGGCTTGATTCGGGAAATCCATTGGTCTCCGCCTGATCTGTTGCTGTTAGATGGCACCAGCCATCCCAGCAGCCAAAAAAGGGCACCAGCCATCTTTCGTATTACATGGTGTAACCTTGGTAGTGCAACTGCAGTGACTGATACTTGATTTCAGTGAAATACTGGGATAAACTTCTTAACACAGTTCAACCACCTTGGATAAACTACATTTCCCAGGATGAACCTACATCTTACAAAATCATCATAGCTGTTGGAGGGGGGGGGGATTACACAAGGATGTTAAATGTTGTTCCAACCACTTGTGCCTTTTTCTCCTAGTGACCATGACGCTAGGAAACTTTAACCTTCCTCCCCATGTCACTTTTGCTTCTTCAAGCCACCTTGTGGTGATACTTTAATTCCATTTGAGAAACCATGGTCCCGATCACACACGGAATTGGCCACGGGATACTTACGAATGCCGGCCGGATTTTACGGGCGCATTCAGACAGACACATCTGGCCAGCGTCCCACACCTGTCGGCAACCCGTAGCAGTCAGCCAAAGAAGCGGAGTAAAAAAAACCCCACGGAAAGTCTACTATCAAACGAGGTTGTGACTGGCCGAGGACGGAGTTGCCAGTGTGATCGCTCCGATCATGTCACTGGTTCCTGGATGAAGCGCACTGGAAGCAGGCTGCAAGGGAAAATACCCGCTTCACTCGCTGTTGCGTCGGATCGTGTAGCGGCGCGTCAAATTACCACGACCCAAATAGCCTTGCTCCCCCCCCCCCCCCATTTTTCTGGCACATGTGACCGGGACCCTTTTTCCTTAAGTTTTGCAATGGGTCAGTTTGGGGAAGAGAAATAGGGGGAACCTTGAGGAAGAGAAATTGCCATGGGAAGGAACTGCTTCTGTTCACATACCATCGTCACAAGATGAAAAGGGCACCATTGTTCTCCCTTCCTCCATTTTATCCTCCCTTACACAGGAGGAAACCCATCTTCAAAAGTGGTCCCTGCTAAGATATGTTAATGCATAATGATGATCTTTCATACAGAAGGAAGTGGTGGCGGCTACAAGCATGGACGGCTTCAAAAGGGAATCAGATAAGCATATGGAGCAGAGGTCCATCAGTGGCTATTAGCCACAAGGTATAGATAGAGACTCTGGGGTAAGTGATGCTCTGTCTTCTTGGTGCTTAGGGGGGTCAACAGTGGGAGGGCTTCTAATGTCCTGGCCCCACTGGTGGACCTCCTGATGGCACTGGTATTTCTGGCCACTGTGTGACACAGAGTGTTGGACTGGATGGGCCTTTGGCCTGATCCAACATTGGCATCTCTTATGTTCTTATGTTCTTAATTAATTCATCAACTACTCTTTCAGCAATTGGATGACAGCCTTGCTCTTGACACACATGGCAAATAGGCTTTCCAGCTTGCCCACCAAAGCAACCTTCCACCCTGCCAGTGCCCATTCAGGCAGCAAGAGAAGTGGGGAATGATGTCACAGATAGTGGCAAGATTACTTTTCTACTGCCGTAGGACTTTCTCCCAGACTTTATGGTCTTGCCTTGAGAGAGGTACATTATTTCATATTCTGCAGCAGTATAAGTCTAAGAAGAGTAAAGCAATTCACAGAACCCCTGGTGTGTCAAGGAAGAAATTAGTGATACAATATGTGGCGGAGTATGTGGCTTACATGTGAAGGCTGTTGATACCCTGTGAATTTGCAGAGTCTTCACAGGAAACTAGCAGAACAAATAGATTTGAGGTCTCTAGTGATGACTTTGTTTTCAGCCAGCCACACAAATGGCCCCATACCACAGATGCTGAGGGACTATTTGAAGTGGTTATGTTTAGTCTTTGAAGTCTGCGCCTTTGAAACCTGGAGGCCTTCTCTAAGTATCATTGCAAAATAACAAAATAGCTTTAAAATCAGGATAATTTTAAGGTAGAGATCTGAACACATGAAGCTACTGAGTAAGACGACTGGTTTATGAAGGCCACTGTTATCTTCTCTGATTGGCAGCAGCTCTCCAGTAGATGTCTTCCATATAATTCACTGCTTGACCATTTTAACTGGGAGTTCTGAGGAATTAGGGTTGTCATCCCTAGGTTGGGAAATTCCTGGATATTTGAAGATTCAGTCAGGGGAGGGCAAGGTTTGGGGAGGGGGGAACTCAATGGGATAAGATGCCATACAGTTCACCCTCCAAAGCAGCCATCTTATCCAGGGGGAGCTGGCATCTGTAGTCAGTTGTAATTCCTGAAGATCTCCAGGCCTCATCTAGAAGCTGGCAACCCTACTGGGGGGGTTGAACATAGGCTGAGGCAAGGGGGCATAGCTCCTTCTCCACATGTACCATGGTTGAGACCTGAATCAAGCAGCACATGCATGTGGATTAAGGTGAACCTGCAAGTCATTTGTGACTGTTACACAGAACATAGGGTGGGGCCTGGAGATGTCCCAAAATTGCAACTGATCTCTAGACTCCAGGGATCGGTTCCCCTAGAGGAAAATGGCAGCTTCAGAGGGTAAATTCTGTGGTATCATATACCTGCTGAGCTCCCTTCCCTCCCCTAAATACTTTAGGTTCTGTTAAATAAGCTTTTGTTGTTCTTCTCCATCTGTGGCTTCTCTGTCAAGTCAAATATCTGACAAAACGTGATCTGTTTACCCTACAAATAAGTGCAGCCTGTGTCTAGCAGATTTCTAAATAAGACACACACACACAGACAGAGTACAGATGAGGGAAATGAAATCCCACAGACGGAGAGATATCATATCCTTCCCCTTACTACGGAAGAATCCAGGGAGCATGAAATGACACAAATGAATGCAAAATGGTAAACATATTTTGGAAGATCCGGTTATGACTCCAAATGATTGTCAAAGGAAACAATCCTTTCTCTGGAAGGGTCTTAAGCTTTCCCCCCTCATCTGGAACAGACCCGCTGATGTGGGGATTAGACAGGGCTGTAGCCACAGGTGGGGCATTTGGGGTGAAGCTCCCATGGATGAGCCCTGCCCCACCCCAGACCCCCATCCACCCATGGTGCACTGTGCACCTTACCAGCAAGAGCTGAGAGGCGCATGTAGCAAGAGCCAAGAATGGGCCGCCCTGCGACACCAAGGGTGCGTTCAGACAGGACGTTTCAGCTGGCATAAACTGCACCGGTTCCAACCGGTGCAGTTTATGCCAGCTGAAACGTGATCACACTTACCTCCTGTCTGCGGAGCCCATCGCTGTATGCCTGTTCACACACAGCGGGCGTCAACGTTTGTTGTTGTTTTAACTCAGTTTGCACATGCGCATAGGCAGCCATCCACAGAATGGCGATCTTCGCGCATGCGCAAAACACCCCATCGCGAAAATCAGAAGAGAGGACTTACCTTTAAAGTTTAAAGACCAAACTAGCCTCCCTGAGGTCCCAGACTCCTCTAAAACCTTAAACTAAGGACCTTTTTCTTTTTAAAAAAACAAACGCCGGGGCGAAGCTTCGCCCAAGCGCATATCGCAACCTTAAAAAAAAAAGGCGGGCGAAAAGTGGAAGCCTCGAGCTTCGAGCTTCTGAACAGAAGTGGCTCTACAATGGTGGAGAGCGATCAGACGGGGGTAAAGCGGTTACAATCGGTGCACTCAGGATACCACCACTTGGGGACCTAGTGGCAGAATACACCGGTTTAAAGCTCTTTGCAAAGCTTAGGGACGGAAGGCAGATGTTTTAAGTCTGAACGTCGGTAAGTACACCGATTCCAACCGGCACCTATACCGTTGTAAATGCCCCGTCTGAACGCACCCCAAGAGAAAGCACCTGCGACAGCAACGAGTTCCTCCCCCACAGTGAGGTACCAGGTCCAACAAGAGGAAGAGGCAGTAGCAGCAGCAGCATGCCTGAAGCTGAGCTGTAGTGGTTAGCCTCCGACACACACTTTCTCTGTCTCCCCTCTTCAGTCCTCCATCTCCAAGGCACATTTTCCTTGCTGTAAGCCCCATGGAAGACAAGCTGGGCTTGCTTCCAAGCCAATGCTGCATAGGATCGCGCTGCAAGCCCATAGCCGGCGGGCTATTCTCCTCAGCTCTGCAGCCTTCGGGGAGAGAGAGAAGGAGAGCCTGGTGAGGCTTCTGATTAGATTTCCTCTCCCTACTGAGGCTCTTGTCTCTCTGTAGTCTCCCTTACTTTGCGAGCAGGTAGAGGAAGTACTCTTGAAACAAAACAAAACCAATACATTTGGCTACTCAGGTCAGCCAATGATTTCATTCTATAGCATTCCACACAGCAATTGTCATGGGAAGGGTAAAAGCGCAAATTAGCAAGACAGCGCTTACCTCTGGGAATCTTGAAAAGCAAAATGGCAGTGGAGAAATACAAGACAAAGAAAAACTCCAT